CCATAATTACCGTGTCATCTGCAAATCTCATGGTGTTTACGATTTCTCCACCAATTCTTACGCCCTCTTTTCTTTCCCATAAGGCTTTTCTGAATGTGACCTGTGAGTACACGTTGAATAGCGTCGGAAAATAGACGCATCCTTGCCTGACCCCCCTCGCAATAGGTATATTATTTGTTTCTATATCGTTCACCTTTCCTACTGCTTTCTGGTTCCAGTATATAGCCTTAATAAACTCAATATCTTTTCATGTCTAAATTTATGTTTATTAGGTATATAGGTCTTTATTTGCTGCTTTTCTGTTCTTCAGCTTTTCAAGTATTCCCGACATTTGTGGAAGAGTACCGTCAACGCAAATAATGCCTCTCTTGTACCCATGCCTCCTCTGAAGCCAAACTGCGTTTGATCTATCTGCTCCTAACCTTTCTTATAAATTCGGTTTTGAACAATTTTCAAGAGAATCTTTAAGGCTTATCAATCTATAGTCATTACATGATTTGGGATTTGATGGTTTTTTGGTAAAGGTAAAAATATCGATTTAAGCCATTCCTCCGGGATGTTGTCCTCTACATATATGTGGTTGAGAATTCGGGTGAGTCTCTTTATATTACCGTCATCTAAGGCTTGTAACAGTTCAACTGGAATTTGATCAGAACCCGGTGCTTTTCCTTGTTTTGCATTCTGTAGGGCATGCTTTACTTCTGAGGGTAAAATTTTTAGGTATTGTTCTTCACCTATATTTTGTTCATTTTCCATCTCGTCATGGAACAGATGGATTATATATTTTTCCCATACTTCCTTTATTTTGCTCTCTTCAGTAAGTATTCCTCCATTATTATCTCTTGTTATGAGTGTTCTTCTTTGTCTAGTGTTGCCTGTAAGTTCTTTCATTTTTTTATGTAAATTTGAAGTGCCATGTTTGTTGCTGAGTTCGTCCAGTTAATGCCATTCCTTGTTCATCCATTCCTCCTTAACCTTTCGGATTTCATATTTGATTTTATTCTTGATGGTTTTATATTTATTTTTATCTTAATTTTTGTATTTTCTTTTTTCATCCAGTATTTTTTAGTGGTTTTCTCTTCTTCGACTAGGACCTCTTTTCCCGCTTTTAGTATGGCTTTTTTCATGTCTGCCCATTCCACGCTTCCTTCAGTTAATTTATTTATCTCTGCGTTTAGTTGCTGTTGGCAGTTGTCGTCTTTTAGGTTTTTGATGTTTATTTTGGTGGTTTTAACTTTTTTCTCCGATTTTCTGGGTTTAATGTCGACGTTTGCTAGTAATAGATTATGGTCCGTATCTGCATCTGCGCTTGGATAGGTTTTTGCACTTTGTACTCCATTACGAAACAATTAATTAATCGTTATAAAATCTATTTGGTTTCTAATTATATTGTTAGTGTTTCTTTTGAAGAAGTCCACATGTATAAACTTCGTGAGGGTAGGTCGTAATATCGGCAGTACTGGACTAGTCTATCACCTCTTTCATTTCTTTTACCTAACCCAACATTTCCTACAATATTTCTAGTTTTTCCTCGGCCGACTTTAGCATGAAAGTCGCCCATAATTATTTTTACCTCCTGCTTCTTTATGTTTTTTGTTAACAGTATTTATAAATTACTACAAAAATATTTGTTTATAATTATCTCGGTCAAGTGTTTATATATTTTATTTTGGAAACTGTCAAAATAAACAACTTTTTATGATCTACAAATTTTTACAACAGCATAATAAACTTTTTATAGGTAAAATACTATGTTTTTCACTTTTTAAGATTATTTAAAGAAAACAAAACAAAATCAGCTGTACGTCTTCACGGATTTTTCATCAGTTACCCCTCATATATTTTTTAGAAATTTCAAAAATCTGTAGATTTTTTCGGTTTTTTTTTCTTCATTGACTGAGGTATTAGGGGAAGGGCGGGCAAGATGGCATACTTAGTTTATTTTCCATATATCTGAGACATAAATAGAGATAAATCATTCCTTTTGATGTATAATGATAGCCAGGTCATTTTTCTACTATTCTAAGTAACAAAAAATCACTCATACAAAGAGATTTATTTAAAAAAAATCAAAATCAAAATGTAACAAAAAACCATTTTGCCCGCACAGTGCGGGCAAAATGGCATACACATAAACAATAGTGTTAAATACAAAAATAATTATAAATTTTTGTTTTTACGAAGAAAAAAAATTGAAATTAAACATTTTAGTTCATACAAAGTTCGCAAATAAATTGTTTTGCTTTTTTGGGAAGTCCAGCACATTCTGAATGTGACCAGTTTTGGCAAATTTGGCATCTTAACCATCCTTCATTAGATTTGGACCTACTAAACGTATCATTGCAGTAAATGCAAGCGCAGTCCTCTTGTTCATCATCATCAATACTAAAGGGTTCTTCTTCATCACTTGATATATTGTTCAGTATTGATCTGGTCACAATATTTCTCTTGCCTTTTCTCTCCGACTGATGTCTATGTTTGTTCACAATGCGTCTTCCATTACTTAAATCATTGACTATTTTTCTTTTCACGGCGTCCCCTTTTCTGCTTTTTATTTCTTGTGCTTTTTTTTCATTTTCTTTTTCGCGGAGATATTTCAGGAAGGGGCTCTCGGTTAATACATCTTGGTATTGACCAGATTTACGTTTGGTAGATTTTCTTACATTACTCTGAGGTACCGGTGCCAATTTCATCAGGATTCCTTCAATAGATTCATCTTTAGAACCAGATGCCGATGGTTCTTGGACATCATGATGATCGTGAGTTGCAGCGTGAGGAACATTAACATCAGCAGGTAAAGATGTAGAAGCAATGTCAGGTTTATTAGTAGAACCAGGCACATCTGTAGTTGCACTAGGCAAAAATGCATGCTCCGGAAAAATGTCACGATTTATAGGTGATATTCCTGTGGCCCGAAAACCATTTATTGCGATCTCAATATTTGTTGTTTTCTCATATGCTTTCTGAAAGAGACTGGACACTTGATATATGGTTATTGCACGACCAGGATTTTCTCTGAGCCAATGAGTAACAGCTTGATTATAATATTTATGGAGTGGTCCGAAAAAGGCAACATCCAATGGCTGAAGGCGGTGCGTGCAGTGTGCCGGCAGGCAAAGTAATACCACTGAATTCTGTTTAGCTAATTCTAAAGCTTCGTAGCTTTTATGGCTGGAGTGTCCGTCTAAAATTAATAATGCTTTCTGCGCAGGATTCGGCCTGACATGGTCAATGAAATGTTGCATCCACCTTATGAACAAATCTCCGGTCATGTATCCTGATTCATTATGCAATTTTAATATTCCTACAGGTGCGCCGTCATATAAAAGTGGGTTAAATCTTTTTCGGGGGAAAATTATTGATGGTGGCACGTAAGTTCCTCCAGAACTCATGCACACTACAACTGTTGTGTGTACACCCCTTTCTGCGCTCGTGATAGAGCCCACTTGTTTTTTTCCTTTCTGAGCAAAGACTTTTGGCGGAACTTGGACGGTGGTCAAGGCTGATTCGTCCATGTTGAATATCATGGTATTTTGAATTTTGTGTTCTTCAACAACTTCTTCTAACCTATCAAAAAATTTATTTACCTGAGGCTTATTGAATGCCTCGGCCCGTGCAAGAGACGTAGCTTCTGGAAGACGTAATGATAATTGCGGATTTCGTTGGCGAAAACCATGCAACCATCCTTTGCCAGCCATCTTGGTCACTTTATTGAACGGATGATTAATCTTCATTTTCTCTGCAATGCTATAGGCTAGCTTGCATAAGTCTGCTCTTGTCACGCCAAAAAACCGGGATTCAAGATACAGAATGTGGGCAACTATTGCAGTCTCCATATCTTCGTTTAAAACTGTTGCCAGGGAGCCCAAATGTTTTTTTTGCTTCAATGGCAATTTTATTTTTATTACCTGCTCGACGTCGTAGTGTTGAGAACGGTACATGAAATGTATTGCTTGCTTTAAGCCAACCCATTTCGGAATTTCGGACTGCCTCCAAAGCTCTTTGCATGTCTTCCTCACTCCAACTATTTCTGTTAGACTTCCTTTTATATGAATAAACCATCTGCAAAAAAAAACTGAATATGTACCTGAAAAACAGACGGGCAAAATGGCATAGTATGTTATTTTGCCCGCCATAATGCTATGCCATTTTGCCCGTTTTGTATTTGCCGACTACTGATAGTTGAAAAAAATTAGTAATGGAAATAAACACAATTTTTATTTAAGATCACATGCAGCGTATAAAACATAATTACCAAAAAGTGAATTCAAAAAGCTCTATAACCTTAATTTAATAAATTATTGAATAAAACTTACATTGACGCATCGAACTCGACCAGCACTTATTCACAAATACACCAATATCGGGCCGGCCGTTAAATTAGGTGCACGAGACTTAATGTGGACAATGTTGCCACTGTTTATAATAAGTATCCAGAATTGCGGTGACGTAGAACCGTTAGCTTGACTACGAGAACAAAAAACCGTTTTGCCCGTCTATGCCATTTTACCCGCCCTTCCCCTACTAATGTCTAACAAAGGTAACACAAATTTTGTAATATTATTCTGCAGCTCTCAAAACAGCTAGTACAAATACAAACCAAAAACATTGAAGTAGAAAACAGTATTTTGTAATATTATTCTGCAGCTCTCAAAACAGCGAATATAAATACAAACCAAAGACATTGAAGTAGAAAACAGTATTTAACACCAAAAAAAAGTCAGTTTCAATGGACCTGAAGACCTTTGATTTTGATAAAATATTCCAAGGCTTGTAAAATGGCTTCCTAATAAAGGTTCAAGAGAAAAACTGAGACAATCCCGAACCTTATCTATTCTGGAAATTTTAATTTTAGCGCTAATCAAAATGTCTGCTGTTTGGTTCCAACGTGCTGCAAACCTGAATTCTATAATATTTGTTAATGTTATATTCATTCCTTTGAGTGATAATGAATGTTGAGTGAAATATTTAGGCGTTATTTAATGATTTTATTTTTATAGGAGATAGACCAAGTCCACCGGGAATACCAATAATCCAGTACGTAAAACCAAATATTTATAAAGTGCTATGGGAAGCTTCTAAAGATAACGGTGCTCCAATTGAAATTTATAAATTAGAAGGCAAAGTTTTAAGGTATTACAGAACTAAAAGAAGTACAAACAGAACTGTTCCTTTCTTCAATACTTCTCCTTCTATTGAAATCGAAGATCCTGACCAATGGACTACTTATTATAACGGAACAAGTAAGTTTTATATCATAATTTTAAATAGATTATCTTTGTGTCTAACGCTTACTTGCAACTACCAATTTTTTTGAAACCTGTTACTCTAATAACTGTTATTGAGTCCCAAACAGATCATTTTATAACGGATATTTCATTAAGAATTATTCCACACTTTTTTTTATTTAGCTTAAATACCTCGACAACTAAGGTGATTGGTACGGTACAGTTTATTTATTCTAGGAAATTACAAAATAGGTATTAAATTTTATCAAAAATATTAGTGCTTTTGAGGAACTGTAGCACTTTGGTGTATTCACTTAGGTATATATACTCATGTGGACATGTGTATATTGGCGAAACTGGTCGTTCCGTCAAAACTCGGATTCAAGAGCATCAAAGATGCATTCGATCAGGTCTTTTCTCCCATTCTGCAGTTGCAGAACACTGCCAAGAAACCGGTGATTCCATATTGTTCGAAAAAACCCATATTATTTCTAAGAACCCCTTCTTTTATTCCAGGAAAATCCGCGAATCTCTAGAGATCCGAAAAAAATCCCCATAATATCAATCGAGAGGAAGGATACTTGTCTCTCATCTGGAATCTCAGTCTAGAGCCGCCGTCCGGTCCCGCTACCACGATGCAGCCACATGATTGGCCAGCGCGCGCTTCTTGACGTTCGCGCCACGAAGTGTGCCGATACGTCCCGACACGACAGGTCACCGCGACTATAAATAGAGCGGTAGCGGAGTAATCGTCGGATTCAGTCCTCGCATCTCGACGCGTTAGTGTTCTGAGCTTTTGGACGTGAATCCCGGTCCTGGCATTTGGTTTTCACCTCTGGCTGCGTTGAGTAGTTGAGTTACTGTGACCAAATGCCCATCTTGGTAGTTAGTATTCGCCTCTGGTTGCGTTGAGTAACTGAGTTACCGTTGCTAACTACCCATCTTCCTGTCTTTTGTTTTCTTTTTCTTTGTTCTCCTGAAGAAGCTACACACAATTGTAGCGAAACGTCGAGATGAACCCACTTTTGGGTCACTCACAAATGACACGGTCCAAACCGGAAGACGAATAAACTATAATTCACTTAGGTAGTTTAGAATATCTGCAAGCGATGTCTTTAGGTTATTTTTCCAGACATACTTAGCTGGTGTACTGTTGGCAGTTCGTTTATATATGTTTTATGGTATGTCACAATTGCACTGTTGAAATGTATTAGATTGACAGGAGTATTATTGCGGCTCAATTTGTTGCGAGCGGATTTGGATTTACTGAGAGCTTATTCGCATGCCGAATTCCACCAAGGGACTGTTTTGCGGGTGAGGGATGATGTTTTTTTCGTCAGCCTTTTAAGTAATACAGTGGTTTACTTGTTTAAGTGCAATATTTTCATCTGTATCAAAAGTTTGAGTGGGGATGATGTTTTCGGTTTTAATTGTATATCTTGGCCAGCCAGCAAATTTTAGATTCCAGTATTTGTGGATGGGATACTTCTGATTACAGTATGAACAGATTTTAATGGGAAAATGATTACTATCGTGCATACCATCGCAAGTGTTCCAAGAAAGAAAGGGTGCTGATTTAGAGTCGCAGATACTAAGATCTATAGAGAAGAAGGTATTGGATGATAAGTTAAAGTGTTTGTGTGTTTAAAACGTTTTCAACAATTTTACCTCTTCCAACTGTACGGCTAGATTTCCACATACTAATATGAAAATTAAAGTCGTCCGTACGTATGAATGGTTGGGGAAGCTGAAAAATTAGATTAACCAATTCTTCTGCTTTTAATTTAAGGTCTAGATAAATATATAGACTACATATAGTAAGTTTGGTTGGACATTATGCAGTAACTGCTACAGCTTCAAGGTTACTGGTAAGAGGAATAAGAGAGGAGTATAATATATCGCTTGAAGCAAATATTGATCTAGTACGGTTAGTACGCATGCGATACTCTTCAAAAATTTTTAGGTTTACGACCACAATGGTTTATTTTAAAATTAGTCTTGAGAACATGTTAAGTCAGAATTGTAGATTGAAATAAGTGTTTGTATTTTTTCTATGCGAGGACAGAATCCATCGCAGTTTCTTTGGAGAATGTTGAACGCTTTATTTATAAGAAAAAATTAAATGGTGTAGTGGAGTTAATGATATATTAAGGAGGAGTCAGTAGAGTAGCAAGATCTCCAGAAAATGTGTAAGAGTCGGTGTCCAGTTTGCATTTAACTTTGTTCTAAAGACGAGTTAAACGATTTTTTAAGGAACTTTCATTAGAAGCGTTATAGAGTTTATTTAAATCATTTAGAAGAGAGGAAATATCTGTAGTAAACTTGTACGATTCCACTAAAGGGTTAGAATTGCCCAAAGTGTTCTCAAGAAAAGCAATTAGTTGAGTTTCTTAAAGGGATAATGAGGTGTCAGCTTCAACATATATATTATGAATTATAGAGCGAGTTGCGCTGCTTATTATTTGATTTTCAAGTACTTATGATTTGGATTTTTTAGATTTCTGTTTGGACAGTTTTTTAATAATTTGTGATGTAATGGCTTCAGAGGGGCTAAAGTATTTGGATCGGAAAAACTAAAGAATTCTGGTAAGATAAAGGGTGAAGTTTCTAGGTAGCTATCATTGGACTGAGGTCTTCTGCCACAAGGTTTCGGTAACTGTAAAGATTCTGAGAGTCATTATGAGAGAGTAAAATTTTGCACATTGTTAGCGATACTATCAATATAAGGAATGTATGAATTATGATATTGATAAACAATAATCTTTTAATTAACAGTAATTTTAATAATTAACAGATACTACTTTCTCGAAAATTAACAAAAAAAACCTTACAAATTAATTTTATTATTTATTTCGTTTCAAACGTTATGCCTCTGCATAATTGTTCTCAAATTACACGGTTTACTTTCAAATACAAAAAATTTAGTAGCTAATCCTTCCTTTGATCTACTTACAAGCAACTAGGAATCTAGCTCAAACGTCCTAACGATCCTTTCGATCTCTTTTGGCCACCAGAAACCTCCTTGTCTTTTATTCTCCCGACGAATAATAACTGGTTTGTACTTAGAATAACTACTGCATAAACTTAAACTGCAAGTTCTCCCAATCAGAAGTCATAGACCAGATCTGCTACCACTTTTTAACTCTTATTCACTAATTACGCGTACAAACGTTCACAAATACCAGCACTCAATCACTTCACATAAGTCGATGTTCTTCTTTCTAAGGATATCAATCGATAACTACCTTCTCCTCCTTCCAAAATCCATACAACATCCAAAATAGTCTCCACTCGGGTAGACTTCCACTCTTCACTCTCTTTTTAACCAATCAACTTTCGTAAGTTAAAAACAAACCAAATTTTCCAATTTCTCAAAATTGCCTGTACTTTCATACAAATAACAAATAACAATGGACCTCTATTATTAGCTTTTTACCAAATTCCCCAGAGGTTTTTAAAAACCCCATGTGAAAAACAATAGGCACCGTCATGGCTTTCCTGTTAACTACGAAGAAAGCAGATAAACGGCTCCTTCCATGAATTTAATAACGAAACAAATTGTCAATTAAATCTAATACTATAATATATAATATTCTAAATTTAAATGAATTCATATCATTTGTAGCATACACACAACAAAAAACACATGTAATTATAATTCATTTCTCTACATGTAGCAATGTTTTTATAATATTGGCTTATTCGTCCTTTTCTACTTTTAACCCTCTGCATTTTCGGATAGTTGTTAGAAGTAAGCATCAGTAATATTTTTTTTTCTTTTTAGATACATCTTGGATCATAAGCGGACTTAATGAAAAGAATAAATATGCATTCAGAGTTTCTTCACTGAACGTATATGGTTGGAGTAACGTTAGTGAGGAAAGTAATGAATTTGATTTGACAGAAGCAGCACGAATGGCAGAAAAGCAAAGCCCTATGAACTTAATTCTTATTGCCACACTCGTTCCTGGATCAATATGCCTTCTTTTCGTTTTATTTTTTGTATACTGTGAGTATATTTCTAAAATATTATTTAAAAAAAAGTATATTAACACCATTTAGACAAAACTTTTATTCGCCTCTTTACTTTTATAACATTTCAATATAACTCATGAACTAATTACCTACATAATTATGAACGAAAACTATTAAAAATTAAACACTATTTAGACAAAACTTTTATTCGCCATTTTACTTTTATAACATTACAACTTACTTATGAACTAATTACCTAAATAATTATGAACCGAATAATACAGATTTAGAATTCCAAAGAGTTCATCCTTCATATTTTAAAAAAGATATTTGTTTAGAACTTTTAAGAGTTTAGCAATATAAATATCTAAATTAAATAAATTAGGTATCCTTTTGATTTTTGTGCCTTAGAAGGTGACAAGTAATTAAAGATGTTAAGGATTGAAGTTTTATAATTGCATCTGCTTTCTGATATTCAACTTTCTTCTCTTCAGAAATAATATTCTGTGAGGAATCGGAAGTTTAGGATCATCAATATTAAAGGCTTCAGATTTGATGTGCTGATCCATATTATTGTGTTCCATCAATTTACGATCATTAATTTTGGTTAAAAGGTTTTCCAATAATCCCTTAATATCATCTGGTCGACTTGTCATATTCTTTATTGTTTTTATGGTTTAATAAGTGTTCAATTATTTGTTATTATTGAACGCTGAACGAGAATTACAATTAATTAAAAAATTTTGTAATGATGAACTTGTACGGACGTGCAAACATAACCTCTATTTGAAATTCACAGAATACTATGATGTTACTCTGTGTCTATCAACTAGTTTTGCACTTTGCTACTCTGTGTCTGTCGATATTATTTATTTATGTAACATTAATAGTAGAACATAAAAATGAGGGGTTCGAATACACAGAGTAGTAGAACTTTTTTAATGTATATTTTTTATTTTATTTTTATAAAATTAAAACAAAAACGAATATAAAATTAATTTTTAAAATATCAATACGATACATAAAATCTAAAATTAAAAACAATTATTCACATAGAATTTAATAATAATCTTTACTTTCTTCACATAAAAATATCGACTTGTTATATATATCATCAGCTAATGGGAAACGCGATAAAGGAATTTTTTTCAATAATTTTACTTATGTAAATAAACTGGACAAAATTAACGCACCACTCATATTTTTTCATAACGCACCACTCACATTTGTCTTAATAATCTTTATTTATTGATAATTTACTGTACGACAAGTTGCCTATGGACCTTGTTTGACAGGGATAGTTGTTATGTAAGCTAATAATAGTCTTGTTTGAACAATAATTTGTATTAAACTTATTGTGATATTTTTCATCACATGCATGTTTGGAAATTCATTTGCATAAAAATCAAATAAAAATAAAGCACCAAAGAAATTTGTCAATGGAGGAGGCAGTGCGAGCATTAACTCTAGTAGATAAATGATAAATGAGTGTTAGGAAGACATCATTCCAGCATAATTCGCAAGGTGAGACGATATAATGAAATAGGGTCGTAACATAGAAGACCAGGGTAAGGGAAAAAAGGCAAGGACAATCAAATTGATGATCGATGTTTTGAGACAACCTACGTTTTTGGCCTATCTCTCAGAAGATAGGTCAAGTTAAAAAATGAACGCGATATCGTCTCAAACAGTTAAAAGACGTTTACATGAAGCAGAATTGAGCAACACGAAACCGGCCAAAAAACCGTTGCTTACCAGAGAATACAGAGTTCAGAGATTGAATTTTGCAAGATTGCATCAAAATTGGACCATCGATTATTGGAAACCAGTTCTTTTCTCCGATGGAACTAGAGTAAGCCTAAAAGCTCCAAATGGTCGTGATTGTGTCTGGCCAAGGCGAGGAGAAAGGTTTGCTAGCTGCAATATCTCTAATAAAGTACCTTTTGGTGGTGGCTCTAAAATGTTGTGGAGGGAATTTGTTTTGAAGCTCGTACGCAGTTGGTATCAATACGTACGAGGTCTATGAATGCCCGCTTTATTATTTCCTTCATATTTACCACTATATAGAACAGTATGTGTTTTGCACCTGTGATACTTTTCCCAGCCATTGTTTCCTGCACTGCAGTGATTCCGATTGTATATCCCTTCAGCTCGTTTAAAAGAATCGTCTGCTCTCCTGGTTTATTTAGAGTTGTGCATTCCTATAATGTTAGGAAAACAATATTAAAACATTAACCTTAACAATACACATGTTTAAATAATAGACTGATTTTACTTGACATGTGCAAATGCGTACTCTTAGGCAAATAACTTCTTAAGAGTATGCACTAGTAAGCATTCGAGTATGCACTGACAAAAAGTGATCAAAATGATTTAATATTGAAACCAAACAGTGTTACTAAATTCGCATTTATACATTTTCCTGGTACATTCCGCGTGGACCCATAAATTGCAACTTCTTAAGATGCTATGGTCTTCGAGGACTTTTTAAAATGTGTGGAAGTCATTACTATCTGCACTTTTTCTTTAGTCGAAACCTTTTGGAGAGGAAGAATAACATTTGCTGATATATTGTAGTTTTAGGTGAGCTTTTATTCTGATTATTCTTCTTCTCAAATATTAGCTCAGCGTTTTCCCCAGATCAAATTCGTATGAGATCATTGAACTTACTAAATACCTCTCAGTAACTGCTTTAGGCATAAAGTGTTTTTTCCCACAAACCGAGTTGAATTACTTAAAAGCTGTCTATAGAAGCAATTCTGGAGTAAAAGCAGCAAGCTATCTCACTCACTTGTCGATAATAGATCGACCTAGATGTTTTACATATGATTCAGGGATCAGATTCTTGTGAAAGGAACTTTTTTTAAGATACTCCTAAAAATTGACATCAAAGGGTTTTAGTTTGTGGATCCATGCCTTCATGAAAAACAACATCGTGCCTTGTGCTTGGCAGTATTTAATTGCTAACAAAGTAAAATGTGATATGTTTATCAAGTTCACTTTTTCGATATTGCTATTGGCTGCGATGGCAAAGATACAGTTTTATTTTATGTTCTGAGATCGTGACTACAACCACAGAAGGTTTGTGTATTCTGTGCTACAACGGCCAACGGCAACAGATAAAGTTGGTTCATCTTGAACGGAACCGAATGCCGACGCCAACGGCGAACGATGTTTATAAATAGACATACGAGTTTTTCATTTGACCATGTTGTAACGCGAACGTCAGCGCCAGCGCCAACGCCAACCTAAAGTTTATAAATCAGCCTTTAGTGCTTTTAACAGATCCGAATTTATTAAACCTGACTAAGATATCATTCCCAAAGTGCTCTGTTATAAAATTTAGGTTTGTATCTTTGAGGTGGAAATGTGAGACCAGGTGGAACTTAGTAACTCACCACATTAACACAGCGCTAATTGTCCTTGCTCTTGGGAGACAACCTTCGATACCAGTCGTTTCCCTTTTGGAAGTTTGGTTGGGAATATTCGATACATTTGTTTCATACATATTAAAGATGCCACTGGCAGAAAGTGCGAGATTCTCATCTAATATACTTAAGGTTTTCATGAAACCTATCAAGAGGGCCGGATATCTCAGGCGGTAGAGTACTTTCACGCAGAAGAACAAAATCGATCCCTAGCGCCGGAGAAAATATCTAGATATTCTTTAATGTCTGTAGGTTCAGGTCGACATAGGCTGAATAAAACAAGTGGGTGACTTGGTTAAAACCAAGGGTAATAATAGGTGGTTCAAACAAAGCCCTGTTACCTACTTTGTATATCTTAGACAAACTGCTAGTAGAGTACCCTGCTATAATCCTAAAGCTGCACTTGCAGTAAAAAGGTAAAACTATTATTATTATAAAACTTATTTAATTTTACCCAGTTAAAGCCAATAGCCCTTCTTAACAAGTTTTTTTCTGTCTGCCGTAAACTTAGGGAATTTCTTTTGAAGAATTTCAAAAATTTCTTACCCATTTATCACCTATTATCTCGTTATTTTTGTTAAATTGGTAAGAAATCTTATTATGTTTAACACATTGGAACAAGACAGCTATTAGTTAGTTGTTTCTTTGTGTTCTTCTGAAGCTATTTTTGTGGAATGTTAATACAATTTACTACTTTTAATTTTGAGAATGTCAAAATAAACTAATTTTAAAGTAAAATTATGGCTTATTCCTTGCTGTCTTAAATTTTGATACGTGTCGTCAAAGATTCCTCTTCCTGCTTCGAAAATATTGATTTAAATTTGCCCAAAGAGGATCACCTGAAATCAAAATTTCGAAATTAATATTTATTACGTATTAAGGATAAGTTTATTATTAACTTGTCATTATTATTATATGATTACCATATAAAAATACCATGCCAAAAAAACAAAAAACAAAATAGGTAGATCGATGGAAGACAACCGTATATACGTATTTATGACTATTGGTCGTCTATAGTACGGGGCAGCTAAGTTAAAAAAAGGAGCGTCTTAACTTGAGAAAGGATCACTACAGAAGCAATGTGACCAATTTGTGGCAATAATGTTAAAAGACTCTGAGGTTTCCAGAGCAACAGCTAACACATCCATGGAGGAAGCTACAGCTACCTGAGGAAAGGAATGCCAAACGTTGAAACGTTTAAAACAAATAGAAAAAGTTAATGCGAGTGAATAGTAAAAGTAAAATGTAATGGTATGTCTCGCAAAAACAGGAAAATAAAAAAAAAGTTAGTAGTCTACAATAAAAAAACAAACAATATAGTAGTCTATATATAGAACCAGTTCTGATTCTATTAGTTGGACAAAGTTGTGCCCCCTTTCGAGGAGGGATGATGTATGTTCCCCTTATGTTAAATCTTATATCATCGTTCTAGTTTCATAAAAATATTAAAATTAACCATGATTTTTATGTAAGATAAGCGTTTCTACATCTTTTTGCGTAGCTAGTTTTAACTACTTTTGGATAAATCTTTTAAATTATTTTTTAATAAATATTATACCATTGTACACAAGAAGTTGTTACTTCTACGTTTTTTTTTTTAATATAAATTATTATATATGTATTATTTTGTAGTGATTTGCTCCGGGAGAAGAAATAAACAAAAGAAGCTTCAACAAGTTGTGACTTCCGCTCCTAGAATCCCAGATGTGGAACTAGCTACATTGAGAGAGCTACCGAAAAGGGGTGTACATAATACAAATATTTTATATTTTTCTGCTCAACCCACTCCAGAAGAGCTCGGACATTTACCACAAATAAGGAGGTAAAATAGTTTTGATTACATTTTTATTAACTTGATTAGACTTTTTCACTATACATTATCAGATTCCATGATTAACATTGATAGATGTTTTTACTAACTTTGAATTATCACTCATATCATTGTTTAGATTTTTACCTATCTATATAGAAAATGTTTAAAGAAAATAATAATTAAATTTAAATAACTATATTTAAGCAATTATATTAAAATATGTAAAATCATTTTATTAATTTTATTCCAGGGAGCAGATTACTTTGACTACATTTTTGGGTAGTGGTGCTTTTGGCGAAGTATTCGAAGGCAGAGCTAAAGGAATAAATAATTCTGCTACAGAAACCAGAGTTGCTGTAAAGGTAAGAAAAAGAGTCATACATTTTGTTCGATTCTTAACTATACGAATGTGCTTTTTTTAGATTCTACTAGCATATTTTTTTTTCATTGCCTGTTGTATTGCTTCGAGTTTTATGACTTTTTTATTTTGATATTGTTCTTTATTTTATTTAGCAAATGGCATACAAATAAGAACATATAATTGAACTAATTTATCAATGTAATGTAAAACATTTTCAGTCACATTTAGAAAATTATCAAAAACTCCACGGAACGCCTTCAGAGGAATTCTTCAATAATGTGGCGAACAGTCTGTCGTTACATACTACAGTCACACAATAGTAAGGACTTTTCCCCATCTTTGTAAGCTGTCAGCACAGCAACCTGTTCATTATTATTCTGTTCAGCGTTTACTCATGTATTATGAGGCAGTTCAAAACCTGGCGGTTTCTGATCAATACAGGCCATTTGGTGCATTTCCTTTAGTGAGTTGCTCTATCAGTCTCATTTCCTGGTGTTGGTTAGACTGAAAATTTCCTAAATGTAAGAAGGCCTTTTAACAATGGAGGATTTCCGGAGCGTAGTTTATCAATTTCGATATTAAGCTTGTCATGTTGGAGGGTTAGTTGGTAGTTGGTAGTATATTCTGTGAGAACAGAATGACTTCTTCTTAGTTTCGGCGGTGGGATGTGAGTCAGAATGGGAAGCCAGTAGTTGTTGATCTAATTCTACCTGAGATCATTCACATTATCTGGTTTAATTGGGTGTCAACAATCTTCATGTGTTTGCTATTGAGCCATACCGAGGAAGGATATTCAGTTGCCGAATATAATAAGTCCGAGAGCGGATGATCTGAGTACGGAGCTTGAGGAATCCCATGTGGTGCCACTTTATTTTTGTATTATATTATTTCGCGTTTTTCGTTTTGCTGCCGTTCTTTGTAAGTGTTCTTGAAAGCGCAAAGTTCTGTCAACAGATACTCTAAGATATATTGATGTTGAGTTGACAGTCCGTAGTTTGTTGTCAAAGTAAATACAAAGCTTATTGTTGGCGGGCATTATTTAGATCAAATCAACAAAAGTATTCTTCCAAAATGGCAAAGAGCATCTGTTAGTAATGCTACTGTAACATCTATATTATTATGTAATGCTGCAATGACCTAGTCGTCAGCGTGGCCAAATTGTTGCGAAGTTGACCTAGGCAGGTTCGCGATGTATAAATTAAACAGTAACGGTTCCAGCACAGATCTCTGCGGCAGTCCATTGTTAAGCTTCATTTGGTAACGTTTTAACTTGCTCATTGTAACAGAAAAGGGTCTATCGGTGAGCATACTATCAATAAGTTTCGTTATTTTTTGACAGGAAATGGCAAGTAGTTTGCAGATTAGTCCTTTTCTCCAGACGGTATGGTATGCAGCGGTTAGGTGAATGAAATCAACGGATGCTTTTAGCTTTCCTTAAGATCCTGCTTCATTATGTGTTGCTATGTTCTAGATAGACGTTAGTTTACATTAGGTTTGTTCTAGCAAATATACAAACTAGTCAGAAACCGTCAGCAAACAGTTGGTCAGCGAGAGAAAATAATACAGTCACCAGTGCTATATCCCCTCTACTCGCACTGGTCCACTATTCGCTGATGGTTTCAAACCATTTGAAACTGATGCTAGAACAAACCTATTATCTAACCATCTTTTTTCGCTGTATTTTTGTCGTTGTTTTCTTTCTTCTGTATATATCCGAAATGTCTTTGTCTTTTAATAAATTCATCATCATCATTTTGGCTTTACAACCCTACGTGGGTCCTAGCCTCCTCAAGAATTTCTCTCCAGTTGTCCCTATCCATCGCCTTTCTCCGCCAAGCTCGTATTCCCATATTTCTCATGTCTTCATCGATGTTATCAAGGAACCTTGTTCTAGGTCTTCCTCTTCTGACCAATGGGTCTATCAAGGAATGTTTTTCTAGTTGAGTTATTTTATTCCATCCGCATTACATGCCCCTCCACCTCAGATGTCATATCTTAATATATATTTTACGATTTATATCAGGTTTCTGGTATATATATTCTATAAAGTTCGAAGTTGTATTGTCTTCTCCACGCTCCATTGTCATTCACTGCTCCATAAATTCGCAATCAGTACTTTTCTTTCGAAACATCCCAACATGTTGTCATTATTTTTTGTTAAAGTCCAGGTCTCTGAACCATATGTTAGGACTGGGCGTATTATTGTTTTGTAGTGTTTTATTTTTGTATTTCTCGATATAATTGTGGATTTAAGGAGGAAATTGAGCCCAAAATAGCATCTGTTGGCCGTGCAAATTCTGTGGTTTATCTCTGCGGTAATATGCTGGAAGATAATCTATTTCGGGTAATTTGTTTCTGGCTAGCTTTAATAAATTATTGTATTTATTTTTTGGCTCGATATACAATTCCTCTTTCTTTCCTCTATAAGTCATCACCGTTTTTCTTGATTTTAAACTTGAAACATACTTAAATATAATTAGTGTTCGTAGAGCTCTATATATTCAGATTCCTGTCCCTGTGCTTGGTTTTATTTCATATTCTTAATGTTCATAGTCTTGAATTTTCACTCTTAAGTACCTAAAAAAACTATTAAGTATATCTTCCATGTGTAATTTATATTTGTTTTCCTTTTCCACTTTGTTTCGCCCATGATGTTATTCTGGATTTTTTCTCGACTTTCGATTTCGATTTCTTCTTCTTCAGATGCAAATCCACTAATGGATGTTAGCGATCACATTTTCCATTAATTCTCTATTTCTTGCAATATGTATCAGAGATTGTATGTCGTTAATCCCTGTCCATTGCCTTATGTTTCGGAGCCAGGACATTTTCTTGCGTCCCATTCCTCTCTTGCCTTCAATTTTACCCTCGATTATAAGTTGGAGGAACTGGTATTTTTCATTTCGCATGATGTGACTTAGATACGCCGTGTTCCTTTTCTTGATGGTTTCGAAAAGTTGGCGTTCTTGGTTTATTCTTTTAAGGACATCTATATTTGTGATTTTCGCTGTCCTTGGTATTTTTAGGATACGGCGATAAAGCCACATTTCGAAAGCTTCTAATCTGTTTATATCCCTTGTTTTGAGTGTCCAGCCCTCTACGCCATATAGCAGCACTGACCATACGTAGCACTTAGTAAACCTTAGTCTCAGTTGAAGATCAAACTCTGAACAAGTCAGTACTTTCTTGAATTTTACGAAAGCTTGTCGAGCTTGCTCAATGCGACATTTTACTTCCCTGTCCGATGCCCAGTCTTCAAAAAGCCACGATCCAGGTATTTAAATTTACTCACTCTTTCAATGGACTTAGTATTCAGTGTTATGGTGGAGTTTTCAAGTGCATCTAAGTTTCTGGAGATGATCATAAATTTGGTCTTTTTGGTATTAATCTCTAATCCCATTCGCTTACTGTATTCTCCGATTATAGTGACAAGTTGTTGAAGATCGACTATGTTGTCACAAATTAAGACACCATCATCAGCATATCGTATGTTGTTGATCAATACTCCATTCACCTTGATTCCCATCTCTGCATCCTCCAAAGACTCTTGAAATATGGCTTCCGAATAAATGTTAAATAAAAGAGGGGAAAGCACACATCCCTGTCGAACGCCTCTTCTTATATGTATGGGTTTGGATATAGAATTGTCTATTTTTTAACTGTGCCGTTTGATGCCAGTACAAGTTTTCAATGCATCTTATGTCTTTTTGGTCTATATCAACTTTCTTGAGAATCTGCATTAACTTGTGGTGTTGGACACGAACAAACGCTTTTTGATAATCTAAAAAGCATAGTAACACATCCTTCCTCTGATCGTAACATTTTTGGACCAGCACCTGTGTTGCTACTATTGCTTCTCGTGTTCCTAAACCTTGCCTAAACCCGAACTGGAAATCACTGATGTCCCATTCACATTTTTCGTATAATCTTTGATGTAGTATTTTTAAAAATATCTTAAAGTGTGACTCATCAGGCTAATGAGTCTGTGATCCTCGCATCTTTTTGCATTGACTTTCTTGGGCAGGGGAATAAAGGTAGAGCGTAACCACTGTTGGGGATAGCAGCCAGTTTCATAAATTAAATTAAATATTTTGTGTAGTGCTGAAATTCCCCTTTCATCTAGTAATTTGAGTATTTCTGACGGGATTTCATCTGGTCCAGGTGCCTTATTGTTTTTTGAATTTAATATTGCCATTTCTATCTCCTCTTTGGTGATTGAAGGGCCAGTCAGCTGGTCGTCTGTATAAACTTCACTCATGGGTCTTTCGTCATGGAAGAGCTCCTGGATATAATTTTCCCATATTTCAATTTTCTGCTTTTCACCCAGCACTATCTGGTTATCCTGATTAACTATGGTAGTTGGTCTTCGTTTTCTGTATATTCCAGCAGTCTCCTTAAGCTTTTTATGTAAATTACGGTCGTCGTGCTGTCGTTGTAAATGTTCTAGATCGATACATTGTTGCTTAAGTCCATTCATTTTTTGCTATTCTTATTTTTGCTTTTATTTGCCTGTTAATGTTTTCATAAATATTGCTGCCATCTTGGTCATTCTTGTGTCTTCGTCGTTCTTCCATTGTAAAATTCAATAAGCGATGCAGGAAAATGTAAACATTAAATCGTGTCCGAACCGGTATGACCCGCCGATAACGTCGCCAGACGAAATAAAGATGGACATTTCGAGTTAGTTTTTAAATATTTTTGAAGAACTGTTACTTGCATTTATGCATAAAATATTCATTAATTTTATAAATCGGATTATTTTTTCACTTACTATGTATTCAGTGAAAACATTAATTTATTTACTATGCAATAAACACGAATATTTGAGAAAAGAAAAAAAAATAATAAAGTGTCATAATTATACTGTTACTTATCGGAACGAGTAGACTCATTTGGAACACCTTTAACAATTATCTGTTAAATTTATCGTTGTTTATATGCCCTGCATATGGAATAAGGTAAATAGTATTTCTTCTGTCATCTATTTTTGCCTCTTGTTATTTCGTTTGTACCCTAAGTTGTTTTTCATGTTGTCTATTACAGCACTTGTAATCGTATTCCATGTTGGTGTTAGATCTTCGGTAATGTTTGTCGTCAATATTTGAATTTGTGCGTTTATTTCATTGCTTATTTCTGCTTGTATCATTGGGTATTTCAGTTTATCCAGTGCTATCTGTTGTTGAGTTTCAGGCTTGTTCTTGCATGAAAGAGCGATCTTTATGACGGCCACTAATAGTACGTGGTCAGAAGGGACATCTGCTCCAGGGTATGTACAAGCTCGACTTATTAATAGATCAAAATTTCTTGCTTCTCCTATTACCCTCCTCATAAGTTTTTTAGATCTTTTAATTGGGTATTAATAATGTTAAATTAATGAATATATTCATTAAACTAATGTTTTTCGAGTAGATAAAAAACTAGGATAAATCTATAGGAAACAATATTTTTAAAATGCCCAATTATACTGAATATTGTCGGTTTTCTCTTGAAGTCACTATTTCTTCCTTGCCTGTTATGTTTTTCAGTTCGATTAGGCAACTTTTATTTTAAAATTTGCTTGTATTTTGTAAATTTATTTTAATTTGTCGATTTTTATTTAAGAATTCTCCCTTTCTGTTTGTACGTTTTCTGTATTTATGCCTATTTCCTCTGTTATTCACTATATTTATAAATATAGAAGATATCATTACAATTTATTGTTTTTGTCATTTTTTATTTATTCCACTAAGGGTTTTAGTTTTTTACTTATTTTCATTATTCTGACATTTGGGCATCTGATTTTCTGTTCGTAACTCCTTCATTTACTTTCAGTATTGTTATCTTTTAGTTTTTTGATTTCAGATATTATATTGACTTGTGACATGACTATTTTAAATTTTTGCACTTTCTCCCATATGGGTGTTCTATTTGTTTTTTGTTTCTATTAAACCAAATTTACCTTTGTCTTGTCCTCGTTTTCTTTTCTCTATAATTTCTGATAAATTCTTCTCATATAAGAAGAATTAATGGACAATTCGATGTAAATATCAGGATCGAATTGTTTTCTAATGCCCCCCTTTGTTCAATACTTCTCGATCGACGATGGTAAAAAAATGGGTGAAGTGTGGAGTAAAAATTATAGTGTTATTGACAGCTACTGATAATTACACTCTAGTTGTTGGTTTATAAATTTCCAATTTATAATTTCACAAATAATGTATACCTCAGCACGAAGGTTAATGCTTCTATTATAATAACAAACTTTAAACTATGAGCTTTCAATACAATTCAATATATTCCGTTATTGCAACACTTAGGAAGTTCAGTTAGAAAATATATTATTTGGCAATTTATTAACTTTGCAGGTTTGCAGGTTAAATGGACTCGAATTATTAAAATATTACGCTGAAACTATAAAAGGTTAAGAAGTTAAGAATAATGTGAGATTACAAATTAAGGGATTAATTTTTGATTGAACAATTACCAATTATATTAGTACTTCTCCACTATTAATATATTGGCCACCTAATGTATCTTTGAATATATTTTCTATTATTCAGGTTATTTTATCTATTATGCTAAAAACTAATCTTATTTTTCGCATTTTAATTGTTTTTTTTGTAGGATATTGCAAATTTTGTTGTATTCTTTTTATAAAATTATAATATTTAATAGTAGTAGTCTCCAGATCATTTTAAATATTCTTTCTCACATTTTTTATGTATATAATTTACTTATAGACTTTAAAGAAAGGAGCATCAGAACAGGAAAAGTGCGAGTTTCTGCAAGAAGCGCAACTGATGAGTCACTTTAAACATGAGCATATTCTCGAACTTCTTGGAGTATGTTTAGATAATGATCCACATTTTATTATCATGGAACTGATGGAAGGTGGAGACTTGCTTACTTATTTACGGGATTCTCGAAATCCATCGGTAAGTAAAATAATAATTTACAATAATAATATTCTCTTAATACTTAATAATTAATTAGTAATTAATTCTTACCACCTATTTATATAGGTAAATATATATCATTAATATAATAAGTGAAAAAAATTACCAACAAAACTTTTATTTATTTTTCAGACATCCACACCTTTCCTTACCCTCATCGAGCTTTTGAAGATGTGTGTCGATGTATCAAAGGGTTGTAGATATTTGGAAGAGATGCACTTCGTTCACAGAGACTTGGCATGTCGAAATTGTTTAGTCTCTTCGTACGAGTCCGATTTCAGAATCGTAAAAATTGGCGATTTTGGATTGGCAAGAGATATATACAAAAATGACTATTACAGAAAGGTAAGATCGTAGAGACGTACTTTTTTAATTAGGTAGGCAGAACAAAGAATAGGGGTGACGGGAGGAATGAGAGCCACCAAAGGAAATATTTTTTTAACCATACTATTAGCTATTAAACAAATTTAAAAATTGTAGCATTTATTAAACAAAACAAATTATAATAGAATTTAATAAAAAAGAATAAAAAAGGATTTGACTTCCATTATCCCACCATGTGAGTATTGGGAGCCACCAGTTATTGTAATATGAGTGTTATGAGTGGGGATGTTTATATCTGCGTAACTAGTGAGCTGAACCTATTCTTTTTTGTCCTTTCTTTGCTAAAATAGTTGCGGGTTCTTGAACTGTTGTTACGCCAGTCTCATCCAATATATATATATATATATATATATATATATATATATTATATATATATATATATATATATATATATATATATTTGTCCACAGTGATAATGATTTATCATGTAGCTGTAGGTATACGAAAAATGTGGATTAGGATTAGTACGGTTTATGAAGCAATATGTAACCATTGAAGAAATAAATACAATATACAGAAAATTAAAATTAGGAGGTCAAATATATGTAGATTTGTTTGCGCACTTGGAGACTATCACTAGAAATCAAATAGATGTCATGACGTCAGAATTTCTAAATCCCTCAAAACCCTGGTTCTCCTTATTCAAGTTATTTTTAGATATTAAACCATGCCCTATTAATATCTATGACCATATGTACTTTACATTGTTTCTTTAAGCAATATTTGTTTTTACGATTGGTAGGTTCTCTAAGTAGGCTCTCAAAGTGAAAATGATTTACAACGTATGCTGCACCAATTTAATATAACCGTCAGAAAATTTAACATGTTAATTTCCCCAACAAAGACAAAATGCATGGTTACAACAGCAAATTTACTAAGATGTAAATTGGAGCTGGAAGGTCAGGTAATAGAAGAAGTGATGGAGTTTAAATATCTAGGCATCACATTATCTAGCTATAGAAAGCTTGAAACCGAAGTGGAATATCAAATGAATAGAGCAAACAGAGCCGCAGGCTGCCTAAATGAAACAATATGGAGAAATAAAAATATCGGGAAAGAAACGAAAGGCAGAATTTACAAAACAGCCATCAGGCTAATAATGACATACGCGGCAGAAACAAAACCTGACACATAGAGGACAAAAATGATGTTAGAAACAGCAGAGATGAAAACACAGAAAAATTCATGGTAACACTATGGGACAGCTAGAAGTACAGATATACGACATAGATGCAAGGTGGAGAACATCAAAAACTAGGTAAGAAATTGAAGAGTAGAATGGAACGATCATGTAAGCCGAAGGACAACAAATAGAGTAGTAAAGACGGCAAGATACGGTTGCCCAATAGCAAGACGATCAGTAGGAAGACCACGAAAACGATGGAATGACAACTTACTGGGGGCACATTGAAAAACAGACAGAGTCTTGTCTGTATAAAAAAAGAAGAAGAAGACATGTACTTATAGTGAATGCAATATATTATACAATTAGCTATTAGAAAAAACAAAGACAATTAGAAAAAACATAAAAGAAACCAAGAGAAAAACGCAGGAAGCAAAGATTGAAAGAGTAATCCAGCAGAACAAAAATATGAAATGCTTAAAACAACGACTCGGTAAAACTCAGATAAATGAAATGACAAACAGCGAAGGAACAACCATTAATGATATGAAACAAATAATAAAGTGGACACAAGAATACTATACGCACCTATACAGAATAAGACACAAACCACAGCAAGAAATTCTTAAACAATTAAACACAAAACAAGCGGGATTCAGAAAGGGTTTTAGTACTAGCGACCATCTTCTAACGGTAAAAATACTGATTGAAAAGTCGAACGAGTATCAAATCCCATTATACATAGCATTCATAGACTTCCGAAAAGCGTTTGACAGCACAGAACATTGGGCCATCAAAAACTCACTACAGAACGGCAGAATTGATTACAGGTACACGGACCTAATAACAAACATATAGAAAAATGCGAGTACCACAATAAAATTGACGAACGAACACGCTACAGAACCAATAAAATTCGAAAGAGGAATCAGGCAGGGAGACACAATATCGCCAAAATTGTTCAATCAGGCTATGGAAGACATATTTAAAAAATTAGAATGGGATACATACGGAATAAGAATAAATGGAGAGCTCTTGAACCACTTGAGATATGCAGACGATATAGTTCTGATAACAGATAAGAAGGAAGAGTTACAGAAGATGGTTGAGGAACTAGATAGAAAAGCGACAGAGGTAGGTCTAGAGATGAACTATAGTAAAACATGACATATATGACAAACCAAGAAGACCAATTAGAAATAGTAGTCAAACAGAATAAATTAGAGCAGGTGGCAGAATACATATACCTAGGACAGATAATAAAGCTGAACAGGGATAATCAAACGGAAGAAATAAAAAGAAGAACTAGACTAGCATGGGCCTCATTTGGTAAACTATCATATATTCTAAAAAATAAAAAGTTCCCTCAATATATGCGAACGAAAGTATTTAATCAGTGCATTTTACCAGTTATCACATATGGCTCACAAACATGGACTTTCACAAAGGAGAACATCGACAGGATATCCAAAACACAAAGACAGATGCTGAGTATCGGTCTTAAAGACAGGAAAAGAAGCTCATGGATCAGAGAAAAAACAAAAAAAGCAAAACTTAAATGGAACTTCGCCGGTCACACTCTCCGGCAAAAAGATGAAATATGGAATAAGCGAATTCTACACTGGAGACCATGGGAAAAGAAAAGAAAAAGAGGAAGACCACAGATGAGATCGACTGACGAAAGAACGGCAGGAAAGGACTGGATGCAGATCGCCCAAAATAGAGACCAATGATTAGAGATGGATAGAATGAAAAGAGATTAACAGGGGAGGCCTATGCCCAAGAGTGGGCGTTTAAGGCTGATTAGATAGAATATGTTCTACAACCTCTAACATCGCAGACTGAGCGTATCACAGATCTATAGAATAGTTATTTGCGAAACAATACACCGCTAGTAGTTATAAAACTGTTTAATTTTAGGAAGGAGAAGCTCTTCTTCCCGTTAGGTGGATGGCACCAGAATCGTTAACAGATGGCGTCTTTACCAGTCAATCTGACGTGTGGGCATTCGGTGTATTACTCTGGGAGATCATGACTTTAGGACAGCAACCATATCCAGCCAGAGCAAATCTAGAAGTGTTACATTATGTCAGAAGAGGTGGTAGATTAGGCAAACCCACACATTGTCCAGACGAGTTGTAAGTAGACTCTTTATTAATTTTTGAACGGTTTGTATTAATATTATGGTGAAATAAAACATGATCAGCTAAAATTAAAAAAAACAATATTTGCAAAAAAATAATTTATTATTTTAGACTGGTGCCCATTAAAAACAGTCTGTCAGTGGTTTATCTCTTTATAATTATGTAAGCATCCAAACTTACCAAGTTAACCTTCGTATAATTTTTAGTTTTTTTTATATTCTAAAAGTAACCTTTGTAGTATCAATACTTAACTATTTAACTGTGACTTAATATGTGTTTGTAGATAATTTGATGCATTTATACATTTGTAGAATTTTTATTCACGATTTACTACGTAAAAATTTCATAAAGTTTTTATTTAACACTTTGCAATCGTGTCTCAGATTTTAGAAGGAGAATAAGCAAAATCCAATGGTTAATTCACATTGGCAAATGCCGCTAACGAGATTATGTCGCTATCCTTATGTTATTTCACGCTTCTTTTTTCCTCTAACATTAATTTAAAATAATATCTGAATTAAAAAACAGCTTCTTCTTCTTGTTCCTTCTTGTATGTAGGTTTTAAAGTCTGTTTCTTCTTCGATATTAGCCTCCCAAATTGTTTAAATGGTCGCACCATCTTTTTCTTGGTCTGCTAATACTTCTTCGTCCATTTGGTGACTTATCTCATGCTATTCGTACTATTCTATCCTCTGCCAGTCTACTGAGTGTTCGTTCCACTCCTGTTTTCGTTTTGTCATCCATCCATTTATGTCTTCTATATTGCATGCTCTTATATTTTCGTTTCTCTCCCTATCCAACAGACTTTTCCTTGATATTCTCCGGAGTATTTTCATCTCTGTTGTTTCTAGTAGTCGTCTCGTTTTAGATGTCTCAGGCCTTGTCTCCGCCATGTTAACATAGGTCTAATTGCTGCTTTATAGATTCTTGTTTTTGTGTCTTGTCTTAGGTGTTTGTTCTTCCAGATTGTGTCATTAAGAGATCCCGCCGATTTACATGCTTTTAAGCTTTGTTGTCGTACTTCTTCTTCGACATCTCCGTAACTAGTTATATATATTCCCAGATACCTTGCTTCCTGCTTTATTATTTTCCCATTAATTTCGATTTTACACCGTAGTGGGTATTTAGATGTTGTCATTGTTTAGTAATTAAACTTGAGAAGTCGCTGGTTTAAATTGTATTGAATAAATAATTATAACGAAAAACTGTGATATTGTTGATACATAAAATTGGTGAAAATAGCAATTATAAATTGTAAAAGTAGAAATAAATTAGAAATAAACTGCTTTACTCATTATCAATGTTTTATACAAGAATAGACTCACCTCTGATTCGATTGATGAATTCGTACCAAAGCTGTAGAGTTGGTCAGTGGTACCGACGCCCGGGACGAGGGACGCCGCGCCGCCGAGACAGCACAAGACCGGTCAATGTGTTTTCCTTCACTCGTGAGGAAGAAGTGGCAAAAGTGTGCGTCTTGAGATCGCTACCAGGGCAAAACCTCCCTCTGATCGTTGGGTGGTCAACAGATGCAAGTGCCATAAATCAACCACTTGTTTCAATCTTTTTTGACATAGAATACAAAGAAAAAGCCAAATTCTGCGTACGTTAACATGATAAATGAGAGCCAGTTTGAGTTTTACGAAATCACAGGAAATAATATATTTTAAAAGATTGAAATACAGCACTCAAATTAGGTCATATTACAGTACCGTAACAGAAAAAATATTAACTGTAAAAATATGAAATGAATGCGCGCATATTTTCTCAAACAGTCATACATTTGGTTTTTTCTGCTGATATCATATTGTATTTCTTTGTTTCCCATTCTGTAGCCATGACCTTTACGTATTGCTTGTATTATTTCGTCCACTATCATATTAAAGAGAAGTGGGCTTAACGAGTCACCCTGTCTGACTCCGCTTTGTACTGGTATACCCTGTGGTTAGTTTTCCATTTATCTTTGCCTGTATTCGAGTTTGGAGTTAGATGTTTTTGATGGTTTGTATAGTATTGATTGGTATGTTTCTTTTATACAGTAGGTGTAAGGGAGAGCGCCCACCAAAGTGGCGTGGCACGTAGCAAGTAGCACGCGTCTAGCATGTTACATAAAATATAACCAATGCAAACGAATTATTAGATCGAATGACGTCACTGTTATTTTGGTGTGCGCTGAATCATTCGTTTTCATTGGTTACATTTTAAGTAACATGTTAGACGCGTGCTACTTGCTACGTGCCACGCCACTTTGGTGGGCGCTCTCACTAAAACGTCTCTGACTTCGATGCGATCGAAAGCCTTTGTCAGGTCTATAAAACATAGATATGCTGGTTTATTGTACTCGATGGTCTTTTCTGTGATTTGTCTTAGTACAAATACGGCGTCTACGCAGAATCTTCCGGATCTAAATCCTTGTCGTTCATCTGATAAAGTTGTTATAATGATTTTGTTGGTTAGAACTTTTGTGGTAAGCTTAAGTGCGGTGTTCAGTAGATTTATGCCTCTATAATTGTTGGGGTCTTCTTTATCTCCTTTCTTGAACATTGGTATCATTATGCTGTTTCTCCATATGTCTGGTATATTGCAGTGCAATTTTAGCTTTTGTATAAGTTTTGTCATCTCTAGGGTAATACTTTTTCCTTCGTGTTTTAGTAGCTCATTGGTTATTCCGTCTGGTCCTGGCGACTTTCTATTTTTGAGTGAATTTATGGCTATTTCTACTTACTGAAAACTGATTTCTATTTCGTGTCTTAATTCAGGTACGTTATTGTGTTGATTATTATTCTCCTTTGCTTTAAACAGTTCCGTCAGGTTTTCCCATTCGTTTGCTAGTATGTTATTGTATTCCTTCAATTCTATTATTTCTTTCCGTTGGTTTCTGATGAATTTCCATATTTGTTTTTGTGTAACGTAGAAGTCGCTTTCCATCCTTTTAGTAAACTGTTACCAGTGTTCATTTTTTGTTCTTCTTGCCAACTGCTTTGAAAAAACCAGCAAAAATGAAAATAAAGATCCAATGTCGAGCACTATTACGTCTCAGATAAATAGACGTCAGGTTCCCCACCAAAATATCCAATGTTAAGGGAATTCGCATCGCAACGAGAGAACATTTTTCTTCAATTACGTTTTAGAGATCAACGCCAAAGTCAGGTCGTCCTTCAGAAATAAAAGGGATGGGATAGAGAAGTGTTTGGGTTTTTATTTTTGAGGGAACTGTATTATTGTTTTCTTAATTTCTGGATTATCTTTTGTTATCTAAATGGTGAAACATGTCTAGCTGTCACCTTGCAGGGGCAGAGCTAACAGTGTACCTAAGTTCAATGGTTTCCTATGGCAGCTTTATTCTAGAATCACTAGAAGCAGGTCATTCCATTATTCGTCATTACATGATTCCGTATTAAACTACAATTAAAAAGTATGGTGAATCAAGCAAAATTCACTGTAAATCTTTTTTGTCCTTTTTGTTTTTCTGCTGAAGCAAATTCAATCAAGCTGAAATGTTCTTAATATTCAAAAGACTGATATTTTTTGTACACACTTATGACAAGTCGAAAGAAAATGCAAAAAAGTATTTTTGAAGTGTGTATATTTTAGGCAATTCCTAGCTGAGCGCTTTCGGCTTTACAAAGCCATCATCAGAGCTATGCTACAATAAAATGTTCTAATAAGTACTAATTGGTAAAGATTGTAATTTTTAACTTACGTCAATTTTTTAAATACCACTACAAAGGAGAGATCTCATTTCCTTAAGTTTCACAATTATGATTTTGTAGGAGTTGGAATTTTTAAAACATATAAAAAAAACATATAAAAGGTCGACACTGGACGTCACAAACACGTTAAAAAATTGAAAAATTTTTTGTCATGGTACGGGTTTAAGACCCGACCATCTATTGATGTGAGGACGTAGACTGAATAGAACTAGTGAAATCAAATGTCGGTCCTTTTAAACGATTTTTCAAAAGTGACAGGTGACAAATGTCATATATAGGAAATAGAGATTGTTTTTTAAATTCTTACAAAATTATTTAGTAGTTTGGAATTACTACTAGTCATCAAAGACTTTCTAAAAATTAAGTTTTTAAAATTAAATTTTATGTGTTCATCACATCATACAGAATGACATTAATTTGTAAATTCACTCAAGTCATTGCTCAAGGTCAATGTATGTTCAATCTGACAGCTATCCTTAAGGAAGAAGGGCTCAAATTGTTCAACAACACTATAAAGAAGAAACCTGGTATTAATGTTATGTTATCTGATAATTAAGTGTATTAAGAATTGTGTGTCTTGATGGAAAATTGTAAGAACTTTGCATAAAAATTTTTTTTTTTTTTTTTAAGAATGTATTTTCATGTTTCAATTAAGAACAACTGTCAAATGAATTACAAAATGTTGTAAATTTTAATAAAGTTTAAAATTTGTTTAAAAAATAAAAGTATGAAAAATATATAACAAGATTGCATGAGGTCACCTTTCTTCCTCTAAAGTCTCCCATAATAATTTAAAAAGAGGTTTATAGTTGCAATTGAGGTTGATTTGTGTGTTTAAGCAACAATCAGGGTTTATTTTCATTTCTTTGGATATCTCTAGATCTTCCAAGAGACTTTAGACTCATGAATCTCTTGGAAGATCTAGAGATATCCAAAGAAATGAAAATAAACCCTGATTGTTGCTTAAACACACAAATCAACCTCAATTGCAACTATAAACCTCTTTTTAAATTATTATGGGAGACTTTAGAGGAAGAAAGGTGACCTCATGCAATCTTGTTATATATTTTTCATACTTTTATTTTTTAAACAAATTTTAAACTTTATTAAAATTTACAACATTTTGTAATTCATTTGACAGTTGTTCTTAATTGAAACATGAAAATACATTCTTAAAAAAAAAAAAAAAAATTTTTTATGCAAAGTTCTTACAATTTTCCATCAAGACACACAATTCTTAATACACTTAATTATCAGATAACATAACATTAATACCAGGTTTCTTCTTTATAGTGTTGTTGAACAATTTGAGCCCTTGTTCCTTAAGGATAGCTGTCAGATTGAACATACATTGACCTTGAGCAATGACTTGAGTGAATTTACAAATTAATGTCATTCTGTATGATGTGATGAACACATAAAATTTAATTTTAAAAACTTAATTTTTAGAAAGTCTTTGATGACTAGTAGTAATTCCAAACTACTAAATAATTTTGTAAGAATTTAAAAAACAATCTCTATTTCCTATATATGACATTTGTCACCTGTCACTTTTGAAAAATCGTTTAAAAGGACCGACATTTGATTTCACTAGTTCTATTCAGTCTACGTCCTCACATCAATAGATGGTCGGGTCTTAAACCCGTACCATGACAAAAAATTTTTCAATTTTTTAACGTGTTTTGTGACGTCCAGTGTCGACCTTTTATATGTTTTTTTATATGTTTTAAAAATTCCAACTCCTACAAAATCATAATTGTGAAACTTAAGGAAATGAGATCTCTCCTTTGTAGTGGTATTTAAAAAATTGACGTAAGTTAAAAATTACAATCTTTACCAATTAGTACTTATTAGAACATTTTATTGTAGCATAGCTCTGATGATGGCTTTGTAAAGCCGAAAGCGCTCAGCTAGGAATTGCCTAAAATATACACACTTCAAAAATACTTTTTTGCATTTTCTTTCGACTTGTTCTTAATATGCCCATCAATGTGACCAGTACCGCAATGGAATATTAAAAATATCTATCAGTGTATTTGGGATAGGGTATATTCTTTATTTGTTTGTTTTTTATTGTTATATTAAATTTGTTTGATTATATTAAGAGGGGGACCATTTGTGGGTCTTGGCCTACTAAACAACGTTTTTCCGAATCTGTGCTATTGGATACTTTCCTTAGCCACTGCCTGATATTCATAGTTTTAAGATCTTCCTCTACATCGTATGTCCACCTTTTACAGGGCCTTCCTCTTGTCCTATTTGCTTGGGATTTCCATCTCTGGATTGCTTTTACAGCTCAATTATCTAGTCTCCTTTCTAAGTGGCCAAGCCAGTTTAGTCTTTGTGGCAATGTGTTGTCCCAAATATCTTTCTCAATATTTTGCGCTGAAATATTCTCAATTCATTTTCATAAATGGTTTAAAGGGTCCACGTTACACATCCATATGTAAGCACTGGTCTAATTACTGTTTTGTAGATTCTAAGCTTAGACTCATGATTCAGTAACTCACTTTTCATTATTAAGTTTTTGTATGCATAGTAGCACTTAGTACCACTAAGAATCCGTGCTTGCATTTCTTGACTAACGTTGTTGCTGTCATTTATTATTGGTCCTAGGTGGGGAAAGGTGCAGGTATATTCTCTACCTTCAGTTACCTGTACTCAGATTCTTCTTTTTAAAGTGCCCTCTCCTCAATGGAGGTTGGCTACTACAATTTTAAACTCTTCTCTATCTTCAGCTGCTCTTGTTAGCTGTTCAAAATTTAGCTCTGTCCATTGTCGGATGTTTCTGAGCCACGATAGTCTTTTCCTTCCTAGGCCTCTCTTTCCCTCGATTTTTCCTTTCACTATAAGTTGGGCATATTGGTACTTATTATTTCTCAGTATGTGGCCTAGGTATGATGTTTTTCTAACTTTTACTGTGTTAAAAAGTTCTCTTTCCTTGCCTATTCTATGCAGCACTTCTTCGTTTGAGGTATGCGATGTCCATGAAATTTTGAGTATTCTCCGGTAGATCCACATTTCAAAGGTCTCCAATTTATTTACGGTTGATGTTTTAAGAGTCCACGTTTCAACTGCATATAGAAGAGTCGACCAGACGTAGCATTTTGATAAACGTAGTCGAATTTTGAGTTTTATTCGAGAATCACAAAGCAGTTTTTTTTATTTTTTCGAAAGATTTTCTGGCCTGATCTTATTTCTAGATCAGGATTTAGGCTGCTATCGATCCAACATCCCAGGTACTTAAATACATTGACCTGTTCTAAAATGTGCCCATTTATTGTGCAAGGTTGAGGTACGTTTTGGTTTTTTTCGGACTAACATCACTTTGGTTTTTTTAATGTTTATTTTCATACCAAATTGCTCACAGGTCAAGTTGGTCTTGTCGATGAGTCGTTGTAGACCTAAGTCGGAATCCGCATTTAACACTGTATCATCGGCGTATCTGATACTGTTGATATTTACGCCATTCACATTGCCGCCATCCTTGGAATCCTCCAATGCTTCTTTAAATAGAAACTCGGAGTAAAGATTAAACAGCAGAGGCGACAGAACACATTCTTGTCTAACTCCCCTCCTAATCTCTACTTCTGCGGATGTGGAACCTTCGATCCTAACTCTGGCGTTTTGGTTCCAGTACAAGTTTTTTAAGAATTTGATGTCTTTTCCATTTAAACCGACTTCTTGCAAACGTTCTAATAGTAGGTCGTGTCTTCTTCTTCTGTTGGTCGTAGCATTTTTGGGCGAGAACTAGTAAACTGAACAGGGGTTCTCTCGTTCCCATGCCGGCTCTGAATCCAAACTGATCGTCTCCGATGTTTGTTTCGCACTTTCTATAGATACGATTATGTACGATTTTTAGTAGGACTTGTACTGCATGACTCATAAGGCTTATCAGACGGAACTCATTGCAGTGTTGTGGGTTTGGCTTTTTTGGTAGTGGGATGAATATTGACTCCAGCCAATCTTGGGGTATTTTACCTGTATCATAAATGCGATTGAATAAAAGGACAAATATTTCGATATTTTCTTCGCTGATTAATTTTAACGTTTCTAGGTATATTCCGTCTGGACCTGGGCTTTTATTTGTATTGAGATGATTAATTGCATTTATGATTTCAGATTTCAGAATTGTTGGCCCTTCGTTGTTATTTTCCAATCTTGGTTCTTCTCGTATCTCGTGAAAAAGAATTTTAATTCTAGTTTTCCCATTCTTTCAGTTTATCTTCCGTTGATTCTAGCAGTTTGCCATCCGTGTTCAGCATGGTGTGAAAAGTTGTTCTCTTGGTAGTCGATGTAAACTCTTTTACCTTTTTATGTAAATTAAAAAAATCGTGCCTTTGTTGCAGTTCTTCTACTTCAACGCATTTTGTTTCCAGCCATTTCTCTTTTGCTTCGGTTATTTGTTTTCGAATTCGTACTCAGATTACTAGTTATTTAACAGATGTTGTCGTATTGATATAGTTATTTCTAACATGTTCAATTATTTATTTTAGTTGTTCATTCATTAATATTTAAACATAATTTTAGGCATAGTCTGATGCTCCAATGTTGGGAGTTCGATGCCGAAAAAAGGCCGACCTTTAAATATTGTTTTGAGATACTAGAAGGTCTGCACAGTAGAACAGTGTGCAATCCTACTACAGCTGTGCACGAAGGACAATATATTAGCACAGTGCCCGATCGTAAGTATATTTTGTCCATTTTTTTATTGTGCTTATTTAATATGCATAAAAGTCAATTTAGATTAAAGCAATGTCCGAAATGTCTTGCATTACATTACTTTTAAAGTTGCTTCTAATACTTTTGAGAGTTGATGATCATGTCTGCTTTTGGTTTACCCGTGCGTTAGAATAAATTTTCTGATAATTTTAGTCAACTGTTACTATCACTTTAATTGAATATATAAAGATAAGTTATAATATCTTTTAGAAGTATTGTGCAAGAATCATCATTATCATCATTATCCAGCCTTCATTTATCACGTCCACTGCTGGACATAGGCCTCCCTTAAACTTCTCCATACTTTGCGATTTTGTGCGCTGTGTTGCCAATTTTTCGTGATACGCCTGATGTCGTCAGCCCAACGTGTAGCTGGTATTCCTCTACTACCTTTGTCTGCTCTTAGCCATCATCATCATATAACGAAGTAGTCCTACGGCGATTGCCGCTTCCCGCATTTTAGCCTCCATCTTTTCCTATCTCTCCAATCTCCCTCTTCTAAGCCTCTAGATTGCATTGTTTTTGTAATTTCTTTTCTCCAGGAATTTGGTGGTCTTCCCCTTTCCTTTCTTTCTGGCGGAACATACATTAAGGCTTTCTTTGGCCACCGCTCCTCCTCCATTCTCATCACGTGACCATACCATTGTAATTGCCTTCCTTGTATTCTATCTGAAAGAGTCTTTCTAATTCCTGTACGGTTTCGTATTTCCTCATTCCTGATTCTTTCCATGCTCGATACTCGACATGCGGCTTTTCCTCCGTCTTTCCTCTCTTAACCTCTTTTAAGGTTTCCGTCAATTCAGATAATGTTATTATAGGGATTTCCCGTCTTTCGTCTCTGTTATCTATTAATTCCCTTATCTTGTCCCATCTGTACTCTACTCTATCCTGTTTCAGCAGTTTCGTATAATACTCTTCCCATTCATTTAACTTTATGAGAGGAATGTTGTCTTCATTTTTCTCATTTTTCCTAAACTCTTTTCCTGCTCTTAGCCTCCAATGTGTAATTTTACTCGTCCATCGTGAGTCATGCATTCTCGCTACATGGCCTGCCCAATTCCATTTTAGTTCTGGTATGCGTTCCACAACATCAGCAATACTCGTCCTTCTTCGCAGATCTTCGTTTCTTATTCGGTCCCGTAACGTCACTCCCAGCATAGATCGTTCCATTCGTCTCTGTGCCCCTCTCAATTTCGAAGCCGTCGTCTTGGTTATAGTTTCCGTAGTCTTGGTTATAGTTAAGCCCATAGTTTTCGCCCCATAGGTCATGACCGGTAATACGTATTGGTCAAATACTTTTCTTTTGACGCTAATTGGTATGTTGGCCCTAAGTGTGTCTCGCAGTTTTCTAAAGGCTGTCCACGCTAAAGTAATTCTTCTTAGGATTTCACATGTTTGCTTATCCCTGCTGATTCTTATTTCGTGACAAAAAACGTATATTTCTTCACCAGTTCTATCACTTTGTCTCAAATAGTTAAATGGTTATTGGCGACCATTTTTGTCATAAACTTAGTTTTGGACAGTTCATTCATTTGGAAGTTCATTCTGTGGCCCACCTTCGAACATGCAAAGTCCAATTCATTTAACATATCTGTGGCTTCTAAATTATCGGTGATAATGACAATATCATCTGCGAAACGGAGATGGTTAAACTTTTCACCGTCTATTATTACTCCTCTGTGGTCCCAATTGACCATCTTAAAGGCATACTCTAATGCCGTTATGAAGCAAGAATAGTTGCTTATAGTTTATTTACAGCCAAGAAAATCGCCCATTAACAATTACACGTAAACAGATTCGCAGAAACATGAGCCTGTCTCTAGGAGTCGCCTCCTACTCTCTTTACCTCTGTTTGACGGTTCTTCGGCCAATGAATAGGCTTCTGCACCTATTTTTTCGATTTGCACCTCGGAAATAGAAATATGATCGTGCATTTGGCGCTCTTTTTCTTGGCTGTGAATGTATTACAGCATTGCCCCAATATAAACTGACTTTAGAGTTGTATAATTTGTGAAATGAGAAATTGTAATCGTTTGCTTGCTTGATCTGAATCTTTAAAATAATAACTTTTGGTTAATCTTATGCATGTGGAATCATATCAAAAGTAACAAAATTCACAAACAATATGTAAATATCACTAGCATCATCTAATAAACTTAACAACAAAGGAAAAAAACAGACAAATTCTTATCGTCCAGAGACTTATAAGGACATTAATAAAATAGTACAAACACAAATGTTAAGCCACGTAGTGAGGAGATATATACACAGTAGGACAAAACATAGGTAACGAGCTGAACATTACAATTTTATATTTGCTTTCTTCTTCTTCTTGATGTGCCTATCCGTTACGAATGTTATCATCATGGCAATCTTTATCTTATCTGCAGCAGCCCGGAAAAGCTGCACAGATGTTTTATTGAACCAGATTCTGAGGTTCTTTAACCAAGATGTTCTTCTTCTTCCTGGACCTCGTTTTCCAAATATTTTTCTTGCAGGATGGCTTGAAGGAGAGCATATCTGGATTCATTTCGAATAATATGTACGAAGAATTGTAATTTTCGAGATTTGATGGTGGTCAGTACCTCTCGGTTCTTATTCATTGTTCTGAGGGCCTCCTCGTTTGTGACTCAGTCAATCCACGAGATTTTAAGTATTCTCCGATATAGCCACATTTCAAATGCTTCCAGTTTTCTGCATATATCTTCGTTCAAGGTCCACGATTCAGCACCATAAAAAAACACAGAGAAGACGTAGCATCGCAGCATTCTTACTTTTGTATCAATAGACAGGTTCTGACTCTTGAAGAAGGCCCCTATCCGATTAAAGGTGGATCTAGCTTTTCCGATGCGTGCTCTAATCCCCTGATTGTTGGTCCATTCTTCATTTATTATGGTTCCAAGGTAGTTGTAGTACAGGGGATTGGTTGACGTAGAGTAGAAACTTCTGTTATCCTTTTCTTGCTTATTATCATAAGCTTGCCTCACTCCACGCATGATTTTCACAAAGTCAGTGTGTTCACCTTCAACTCTGAGATTTGCTGTCTGATTCCAGTAAAGATTTCAAATTATTTTCAGATCTTGGTTGTTAATTCCTGTTTCTTTTAATATTTGCATCATCTTGGTGTTCTGTACTCGATCAAACGCTTTCTCCTAATCAACCAGACATGCGTATACATCGCAGTTGAGTCTCTGCATCTCTGGAATAAGATTTATACTGATAAAGCCTCTCTAGAACTAACAGCATTTGTGAACCCGAACTGGTTTTGAGAAATTTGACTTTCGCACACCTTGTAGATTCTCTTATGAATTATCTTTAGGAACAATTTTAGGAGATGACTCATGAGGCTTATAGTACGGTAATGTTCGCATTTTTTGGCTCCTGTTTTTTTGCTAGTGTAATAAAGTCAGATTTCAGCCATTCTGTTGGTATTTCTCCAGAGTTGTATATGTTGTTGAATATCTTTGCGATTATTGCTATTGAATCGTTATCAATTAGTTTGAGTAGTTCTGCTTGTATATTATCAGGACCTGCCGCTTTGCCTTCCTTTAATTGTGTTGTTGCGGAATAAACTTCCTGTAATATTCTTGGTCCATCATTTACCTCTTCTTCCAGCTCAAAGGTGTTATCTCTTTGGTCTTCAACTAGTTTTTCTAGATATTCTTTCCACGTTCTTATTTCACTCTGTTTGTCTAAGATCATGATATTTGCCTAACGACAGGTTATTGGAAAACATTTCGTTAAACAAATGAATAAATGGAGCAGTAGGCTGGTGGACTCACTTTGGTGTTACTAATTTAATAGGTATGTGGGTCGAGCGTTCAGCTTGATGGGATCCCCTCTAGAGTTTCATGAAAAATATGGGAGTATCTCACCACCTAGTTAATCTAATAAGAAATCTGTACGATAATGATGAAGAAATCACTATAGGAGGCAGAAACATCAGTAAAATGCGATATGCAAAGGACACACTTATACTAGCAACGAATAAAGTCGAAATTATTACCATCACCGAACGGCAAACCTAAAAAATGAAGAGATTTGGAGTTCATATCAATACGAGAAAAACAAAAATAATCATCGTAGACAGAGCCCCTAATATTCTACTGCACATACACCAAGTGGCGAATTTCTTAGTGGTAGACAGATTTGTATACTTCGGCTCCCTGATAAATGGCGATTGATCCTCAAAAGTCAAGCGTAGACTAGCAATGACCCATACCGCAATAGCGAAATTGATTAAAATATTGAAAGAACGAACAATAAAAAAAATACAGGTTGGTCAATGCCCTTATTTTTTCCCTTGCTAAATACGCAGTTAAAACATGGACTCTTAAAGAAATTGATAGGAGTAAGATCGAAGCCTTCGAAATGTGGATCTATAGACGAATTATAATCTACTGCACATGTCTAATCTACTCCAGCGTGACCTGGACAGGACATAGAACCAACCTGTCAATTCTGCAAAATCCCTACAGGAAGCCGTCCATATGGTACAGCATCGAGTCAATGGAGACAGCTAACTAATAATATTGATAGTGTCACCACGCCCTGACAAGGGCTCAAGGAATGAGGAGAAGGATCAGATGGTTATACGAGTATGGGAAAATGTATCGAGAAGAGAAAATAAAATTTGATAAAATACGTTAGCCTTTCACGGCCATCTTTTAACTCACTTCTGAGATTAGTTCTCGACGTTTCGCCAACACTAGGAGTTGGCATCTTCTAGATATGTTGGCTTCGTCCATACCAGAGGATGCAAAGCCAAGAATATGCAACAGCGAAGCAGTCCCGCCACACTTGTATGGCTTACCGAAAATACACAAAGACGATGTACCTCTACGACCTATTGTGAGCTCCATAGGGTATCCGTCTTACAGCCTTGTTAAATATCTGGTCGATAATTTACAACCACACATAGGAAAAAACGATACCTTAATTATAACTTTGAGTTCCGAAAACG